CCAGCTCGCCGGCATCCTCCCTTCTGCAGGGGTTTCCTCAAAAGTCATCATCTCGAGGTGTCTGTTTTCTGCCCCCCAGTCCTGCCTCCCCACCCACCTCTGCCGCCTCCGACTCTGCCTCTGCTTCCTCCTTCGCCTCCGACAGGACCCAGGGGCTCCGTCTGTCTGTCCTGGCGCTGTTCTCAGAGCCGAGTGTGGCGTGGTGGGCGCTCAGTGAACGTTAGGATCCCGGATCGCCCACAGAGGTCGCTGTCAGCCCCGTGGGGAAGGGGGGTGTTCTGTTCTGTGGCTTCATAACTGAGGAACAAACGGGGTGCTCTGTGAGAAGAGAGGCTGGCTCAGCTCAGGCCAGAGGCCCAGGGCCCAGGCCGTGCCTGCCAGTGGCCTTCTTGCCGGGGGACTCCGCAGAGCCCACGGGCTCAGAGCATCACGGTGCGACCCGGAGTGCAGCTCGGTCTGGCTCACCCCTCTCCTTACAAGCCCAGGGGACTCCACCACAGGGGCCCACCCAAAGCTCTTAATCCTAACCGGCTCCCCAGGGCCCTGTTTCAACACCAGGGTGGGATGAAGTTTCCGCCCCCTTAATCTTGCCACATAAGAGCCACGTGAACCTGTGGGGACGCGGTCAAATCTTAGTGGGGGCAGCCAGGGCTCTAATTACTCCTACCCAGGCTCCTCTGCAGACCCGGGGGTCTCACGGGCTCGGGAGGGAGGAGGAGGGCTTTGGCGGCCACAGCCACCGCCTGGACTGCAGGTGGTCCCGACCCTAGGCAGGAGCGGGCCGCAGCCCTGGCCGAGGCGCCACGCTGTGGGCTCCGGGCTCCTATCACACTCCCTGCAGAGTTTGCAAGTAAGTGGAGCCGGGCAAGCCCATGAGCATGACCCCCCCAGGGCTCTCGGTCCCTTCCAACAGCCTCCCACTGCCTGCCTCTCCCCACAACCAAAGCTGGGTCTCCCGGGTCCAGGTGGGCCCCTGATTCAAAGTCCTGTTAGAGCAGAATGCCAACATCACCAGGGAGTCTCAGGGACCACCCAGGCCTGGGTCCCACGGGGACCACAGCAGCCTCTAAGGTGAAGCAGGAGTGGAGGCAGGGTGCTGCGTACTGGGTGTTTGGGGCCTTCGCCATTACTTACCATTAAGCCCTCAGGTGGGCTGGCATGCTGCAGGGCTGGAGCATCTCGGGGTTCTGGTGGTCACAACCTGGGGCTGCTAGGCCTCCACAGTGCACAGGAGGCCTCCTGCAAAGGGCGACCTGCCCCCAAGCCCCTGGCACGGAGCACTGACCCCACTGTTCTCTAGGGGCGGCTTTGGAGGAGGCAGTGCGGCTGGACTCTCTCCTCTGTCTCAGCCTCCTCTCCTGGCCTGGAGGGCTAGAGGAGGCCGCACTCCCGGGACTCCTATGCGTGCCCCTGCTAGCTGCCGAAGAGCCCAGGAGTGGGGGCGAGCTGTCAGAAAGCACCTCTCACTGGCCGGGCGACCTGTGCCCTGTGCCCTCCGTCAGCCAAGGGCCCTGCACCGGGTAAAGGAGGAGACAACCCGCTCTCCCTCCAAGGGCCTTCGTGTGAGCTGGCGGGACATCGGGGCATTGTCGCAGCAGGCCCTCGGCTGGGACAGTCGTAGGGGTCCCCATTTCTCCTTGGAGGAAACCGAGGCCGGAGGACGGCTAACCTGCGCCAGTGCCTGGCACTCGGCCTGCCCTGGGCTTCTCGGCCTTCTCCACCCTGGAGAGTCCCGGCTGCCTGCTGCTCCCAAGGGTCCCCACACACACACACAACCTCCATTGCCGCCATTAGTAGAGACAGTTCAGGCTCAGGGAGGTCCCAGGGCACAGGTCCCCTGGGCAGCGAGTGGTGCTTTCTGACCTGCCCTGTCTCCACTGAGGGACAGGGACATTGGGGGACCCCGGAGAATGGCAGGGACGGGCCTGGAGAGATAGCTATTAGTCAAATGTGTGCATGGCGTGGAAGGGTACCTGGCCCAGGGAGACACGGCAGGGTGGGAGGTGACCGATGGAGAGAGATGCTGTCCTTAGGAAAGGGACCTGTGCAGGTGTCCGGCTGGGCCATTCTGGCCCCCCAGGCCTAGAGAGGGGCTGGCACACCACAGGGACCTGACAAGCCCTCCCATTGGGCACCCCACCCCACCCCCGGATCCCTCTGAGGCCTGCCCAGGGGTGCCAGGCAGCAGGGCACCTTCCCACCTTCCCTTCCCAGGGCGGAGCTGGAGCAGCTCCCCGGGGTACCCAGCAGGGCCAGCTGCAGGGAGGGCGGAGGAAACTCCCTGCCCCCACGCTTGCCCTCCTGTTGTGGGGGACATGATCCGTTTCCTGGCTGGCGCCCTGATAAGCTCGGGGACCAAAAGGTTGCCACATTTTCAGGGATGACTCAGAGCGAGAGCCCGGCTGAGCTCCATTTCCTGACTCTCGGCCTACACTGTCCTGCAGACTCGGTTTCCCCTTCTACACCCTCTAGCTGTGCACAGAACATAGCGTGTGGGGTTGTAAGGGTAGGGTCAGAGCCATCAGCTGTGACCGCGACATGAAAACAAAGGCAGGGGCCGTTTTGTTCCTCCTGGCCCACAGGCAGGTGTCTGCAGAGGCAGGGTGTGAGCAGTTCCGGAACCGTGTGGCTAGACCACTGGAGGAGAGCAGGGAGCGGCTCCAAACCTGGGCCCCTCTTCAGCTGCCCCCCAGGTTCATCCCAGAAGTGGATGAAAAGGTCTGTGTGGTCACAGGGCCAGACTTCAACACGGAGGAAGCTGCTCTCTGATCTCGAGGACCGCCTGGACCCCCATTGCTTTCATGTCCTCAGAGCCCTGTGACCAGACGAGAGCAGGTTGGGGGGCGATATAGCGCCCCCTCCCACTTCTGCCTCCCTTCTCTGCAGCCTAGCCGCCAGGGAAACCTCAGCGCCCCTTTTCACCACCCAGGGCTGGGTGCGCAGTCGCTGGGACCCCGAAGTGGGGCCCAGGTGGGGAGCCCGCGGGGCCGGGTCCAAACCCCCCACACCCTCCCGGGACCCCGCAGGGCCAGTCCAGAGGAAACAGGCAGCCAGGAGTCCGGACCGCGGCGGGCGCGTCCTGGCACGCTCCCCGGGGAGGCGGCGGGCGGGCCAGCTCCGCC